GGAACCTCCTGCCCACACGCAGGCCCGCACAGGGTCCCACCCGGGTCCAGTCGGGAGTCGGCTCTGATACCATTTGTAACATCCCCAAGCCGCCTCTTAAAAGAGGTAACCGAGGTGTTAGCACCCAGCCCAGGACTCCCCCCCTAAGCGACCCTGAGTAACCTCTGGCATCCTTACAAGGAACCTCCAGCATACTTACAGGCCCATCGGGAGTCGGCTCTGATACCATTTGTAACATCCCCAAGCCGCCTCTTAAAGAGGTAGCCGAGGTATTAGCAACCAGCCCAGGACTCCCCCCCTAAGCGACCCTGAGTAACCTCTGGCATCCTTACAAGGAACCTCCAGCATACTTACAGGCCCATCGGGAGTCGGCTCTGATACCATTTGTAACATCCCCAAGCCGCCTCTTAAAAGAGGTAACCGAGGTGTTAGCACCCAGCCCAGGACTCCCCCCCTAAGCGACCCTGAGTAACCTCTGGCATCCTTACAAGGAACCTCCAGCATACTTACAGGCCCATCGGGAGTCGGCTCTGATACCATTTGTAACATCCCCAAGCCGCCTCTTAAAAGAGGTAGCCGGGGTGGCCCAATATAGCCCAGTCACTCCCCCCCTTCGTAACCGATGTGGGATACCAGGACTGCGCATCCTTAACAGGAACCTCACAATCCACCCCCCTTCGGGGCTGCACGTCCCCGTGCATCCTTAACAGGAACCTCACGTGATGATTTTGCTTGTATCCTCACGGCCTGGATGATTTGGCTGTTAACAAGCTTGTCAATATGTAGAAAAGAGGGCCACTAGAGTCCTCTAAGCATCTACACCCACAAAACTTAAGATTAATATGTAGAAAAGAGGGCTATTAGAGTTCTCTAAGCACCTACACCCACAAAACCTAAGAGTACTTCAAATACTGATTCCTAGGGAGAGAAATATTTGAGGAGAGAAAGTGACAAATTTTGGTATATAATTCATTGTATTCCATGTACCTTTATAATACAAGAGTTTAGATGATATATATAAACCCTATCTCAATCCCAACTTATGGATTATCTCAACTAATGTGATAATAATGTGATAAGATTAGAATAATGTAGAAGGGTCTAAACTCATTAGGACTCCTAGGGCATGTTTGTTTCGAGTATAAAATTTAGGTGGTATAAGGTTTTATATCCATTCCACTCCACTCTAATCCAATAGTATATTATATCTGGTGTTAAACTATAATCTCATCTTTCTTCTTGTTTATTTATCACAAATATTATCTGTGTAATAATTACTTAAAAAAGTCAACAATTGTGACTAACTAAGGTAAAAGACAATTTTAACTTTTAAAAAGTTAAAAATTGTGACTAGACTTTTATATGGGAATTGTATCAGAGAGCATTTCGGTCTTTTTAGTTTATAATACCTATACCAAGAATATAATATCATCCCCTAGGTGGTATTCATTAAGACATTCTACAAGGCATTATGGCAACTTTTTATAGCGAGTCGGTATTACGACTCAAAAAATAGTACTGACTATAAAATGTCAAACAAACAACGTATAAGATAGATCCCACATATTATTTTCTTAATATCACCCCCTTATACTACTCTAATAATCAAAACAAACGCCCCTGCTGTCTAGAGGATACTAACGGGTGGTAATCACACGTCCGAATTTTATTTTATTTTATTTTGTTTGACAGGTCCGATTCTGATAAACAGGCATTAAGAGTCTATTTTATGCCTTAGATGAAAGTAGCTAGCTTTGACTAGTTCTTCCAAACCTACAATTAGGCAAGACATTTTCATGATTTCAGGTTGATGCCTAAAAAGTTGTGTCACTGGTGCAGGGAGGAGAGTTTGTGGGGTATAAGATCTCTCCTCCCAACGTGCCTGTCATGATGGCACAGTAATGGGCTATTATTGGNGGGTTGATGCCTAAAAAGTTGTGTCACTGGTGCAGGGAGGAGAGTTTGTGGGGTATAAGATCTCTCCTCCCAACGTGCCTGTCATGATGGCACAGTAATGGGCTATTATTGGGTCAGTCTTATTTGACTTTAAACACGTCATATTTAATTTAATTTTATTATATATATAATTTATTATTTATTTACTCAGTTACAAAATCCTAAATCTGGGCACACAATTTGATCTTAGGATATAAAAAATAAGATTTATCGATTGAAACAGTCTACACACATATATCAATCATCTATAATCTAACCCTTTCAAGGACTTTGTCATGATACCTACCAACGTGGTACGAAGACTTGTGCTAGAATAGTGGTTCAGTCTAAGCCTTTCTTTTGCCTACCAATTGATAAACAAACAAGTAGGCAATATGAACCCTCAATTCCTACATATCGGATGGTTATTATCTTAGATGGAACAAAGTGTCAATATTAACGCGATACGATAGCTATAATAAATATTTTCTCATCTTCTGAGAGAGAAATTATTGATCGGGACGGTTACACCATGTCACCATATTTAAATATAGTGTAACTTTTTAATAATAAGACAACAAGTGAATAATATATATCTCATATCTTAATAAATATTTATATAATAAAGTAACTTACAATTCAAATCTCAAAAGATAAACAAAATAACTTTTGATATTCGNAACACAATATTAATGGTAGTTTTATAGAACTAAAAAAACAAAAGAAGTAAATTCAAGACTTTATATATAATAAAGTAACTTACAATTCAAATCTCAAAAGATAAACAAAATAACTTTTGCTATTCGCGGTTGAGATTACTTTAAATTTTACTTTAAAATTANATAAAGTAACTTACAATTCAAATCTCAAAAGATAAACAAAATAACTTTTGCTATTCGCGGTTGAGATTACTTTAAATTTTACTTTAAAATTAATCTAACGGTTAATATTAACACTCTAAATTTAATAAAAAAAAATAAGCCCCTAAAGGTGTGTTGGAGTGATATTTTTAAAGAACTTTCAATAATTATTTATCATAAATACTTTTAAAAAAATAATTGTTTGAAATCGTCCTACCACTATCTCTACTACCATCGCCACTGTTGCCACCGTCGCCACCAGCGCCGTTGCCGCTACTGCCACCACCACCACCATCGTCGTTGCTGCCACCAATGCCACCACCATCACCCTCCACCGCCACCACCACCAGTATCGCCGTCAGCACCACCCTACCACCACTGTCGTCACCGCCACCATCGCCACCGCCACCGCCACCGCCACCACCACCACCACCACCGCTGTCACGCCCCATCCTGGTCTCTCAAGGATGAGATGCAACTAGGTTTTTCATACACTTGTGAACAATTATTATAAGCTGAACTAATCAAACATGATATAATTTCACAGGTGCAACAACAACACTTATCACCTTAGTTATTATTAAGCATGATGGTAAAACTTGTCTGATACCCTGTACTATATATAAACACCTGTACCAATCATTTATTTTTCAGGTTATAGACCTGTACCATCACAAAGTATGATGGCTGAGTCTATTTACAAATATATACTATTAATCTGCCATAAATATCTCTTATAAATATAATACATAGTCCAATGGTTAGTTATACCGACACTCAACCTGAGTGGTATCACATTAACGTTGCACAAGAGTCAATCAACTGGACAGTGGACCGGTCTGCATCCTTCTCTATAGTACCTGAAAGAAGAAACTGTAGGGGTTTGAGTTAAACCACGCGCTCAGTGAGTATATACATACAATATATGAAATGAAAATGATAGTAATACACTGAAATAAATAGATACTACATAAATATACATATGAAACAACAACATCAATCCAATTCCAAAGAATTCACAAGCCACATCACATCCACACTACCCCCTCATTGGATAATCGATCACACATAGATCTGTGTCTCCCGAACCTGCACGCCTAGTGATCAGGCATCGACACTCCTGTCTCAAACAGTGCGCCACATTCCACAATATACAATACACAGGACAAAGCATCATTCAATCACATAGGCAAATAACACATAATCCTAGAGAAATGTTATTAAATTCTATCATTTACTATCATCTTATAATAGAATTTTCAAAACATATAAAGATATACATCCACCTCAAATGTACAAAGCTACGACTTTTCGGTCCTATTGGTGGATCCTTTCGGTGTTATCATATTTGTTTCAACATCGACTGTCTCACCCGTTCCACCTAACACATGTGTAATTACAAGATCAATATGTTTATCANTCCACCTCAAATGTACAAAGCTACGACTTTTCGGTCCTATTGGTGGATCCTTTCGGTGTTATCATATTTGTTTCAACATCGACTGTCTCACCCGTTCCACCTAACACATGTGTAATTACAAGATCAATATGNGTTGCCGCCATCATCACCGTCGCCACCACCCCGCTGCCACCCCCACCACCACCGGCCCATCCGCCACTGCCACTGTCGCTACCACCACCACCATCGCCGCAACCACCACCACCATCGTCGCCACCGCCACCGCCATCGTCACCACCAACACCACCGTCACCACCACCACCGCCGCCACTACCGCCACTATCCCCACCACAGTCATTGCCACCCACTATAACTATCACTGTCTCCTACTACCACCATTGTCGCCCACCACCTCTCACCTCCACTACAAATCGATGCTTAAATTTTTTTATCTCTTCTCTATATTTGTGATTTGATTTTGAATATGAATACAAATATGTTTTTTATTTACCATTTTTTATTACATTGTGCATTCAGGCATAGATAATAACTAGTTTATCCATATAATGCAACATGTATAAAAAGATGGGGACACTTTGTCTATTTAAAGTTAAACAATTTTAAAGTTCTATTTTTCCCCTAAAAAACAAACAACCTATTAGATTTATACAACATGGCTATACGGTTGAAATTAGTATATATTACTACAGTTATATTCGTTCTTAGTTTTAGACATGTTATTTACCATTGGCAACCTTAAAATGTATTTTAGGCATGACAATTCCACTAACATTTGACATATGTAGGCCACAAGGAGAAAGTAAATTCCTATTTTAGATGGCTCAGAGGGCTGATCACATCTCCTTAAGCATACAAGATGAACCTGCTAATCACATCTCCTCAAGAATACAAAATGAGCTTGCTTGCTTTTCTCCTCCACCATCTGAGCGTTGCATTTTCAGAGTGCATGACAAACTACGCACTCATAATGAGAAAGCCTATGAACCGAGTATAATTGCAATTGGTCCTTATTACCATGGGAAAGGTAAATTGCAAGAGATGGAAGAACACAAACTATGGTATCTGCAACAGTTGCTTCAACGAAAAAATGAGACGATTGTGGATAAATATGTCATGGCCATGAGTGACATGGAAGAGAGGGCGAGAAAATGTTATGCAGAATCAAGTAGCCTTGACAAAACGGATTTTGTGAAAATGATGCTTCTTGATGGGGTATTTGTCATTGAATTTTTTCGCAAGTGCAATTCGAAATCAAATTATGAAGATGACCCTCTTTTCCAATTTTGGGCAATTCAGGGTCAAGTATTTTGTGATTTATTACTATTGGAAAATCAACTTCCATTTTTTATCCTTGTCCAGTTGTTAAACATGACGAGGGATCCAAACACAGAAGAAGACATCATTTCTCTAGCATTGTCTTCTCTAGAAGTGGTGCCAGGGCCAGATATCCCAGTCGATGATGTCAAGCATCTATTTCACCTAGTCGATGATGTCAAGCATCTACTTCACCTAGTACATCGCAGTATGTGCCCTTCATTTGCTAACGAAAATGAAAATGACCAAGACAAAGGCAAAGACGAAGACAGTATGTACCTTTCATTTGCTAAAAAGCAAATGAAAGGCAGTACTGCTAAAAAGAAAATGAAAGGCAGTATGTGCCTTCCATTTGCTAAAAAGTCCAAGTCCTATGGTGAAGAAAATGAAAATGACCAAGACAAAGGCAAAGACGAAGACAAGAACAAAGGCAAAGACAAAGACGAAGACGAAGACGTGTTCACATATACTGCTACAGAGCTCCAAGAGTTTGGAATTGAATTCAAGGTGGCAAAGGAAAGTAACAGTTTGTTCAATATTAAGTTTGCTAATGGGTCGATGGAAATTCCTCGGTTGGTAATTGATGACTGGACTGAATCCATTTTACGAAACTTAATTGCATACGAACAGTTTACTCCTGGGGGTCAACAAAAGTATGTCTCAGATTATGCCAATTTTATGGATTTTCTTGTTAATTCTCCAAAAGATGCCGCATTGCTTCGGTGTTCTAGAATTATCGTTAACTTGTCAGGTGATGATATTGCGGTGTGCAATATGTTCAACAAGCTTTCCAACGATGTCATGCTCTCGCCTAAACCCTATCACAATCAAGTGTTCACAGATGTGCGTAAGTATTGTAGGAGGCCTAGCAACAAATGGATGGCAAACTTAAGGCACAATTATTTCAACAGTCCATGGGCATCCATTTCAGTTGTTGCTGCTGTTGTGCTCCTTCTACTGACTGTAGCCCAGACTATATTTTCTGCACTCTCCTATATCTAAATGGATCCCAAGATTCATTATTCCCTCCCCCGGGAGAGATATCATGTGTCCATGTGTTGTATCAATTAATCAGTGAAATGGAACTTCAGTTTTTATATATAATAAAATTGCTCAAGTTGAATAGATTCTTAAGCCACAATGTGAAGCTAACTACCAATTCAATTCTTGTATAAGAAGTAAATGGTTGCTTTTAGAATTATTCTTTTTATCATATTTCTTTTATCGCTTCTTTTTTGTGACCTTCATGTCTAGACATCTTAAAGCATCATAATAAACAACCAATGCCACAATTAATNCTTGTATAAGAAGTAAATGGTTGCTTTTAGAATTATTCTTTTTATCATATTTCTTTTATCGCTTCTTTTTTGTGACCTTCATGTCTAGACATCTTAAAGCATCATAATAAACAACCAATGCCACAATTAATGAAAATTTTTTGTACGACCCAAGGAGGAGACTCAAATTTATGTCCTCTAACTTCAAATTTTTTGACTCGTATTCATGTTAACAAGCATTTGTGGAACCAATGATGCACTATGGTGTACAATTGGGGAAAAAATATGAGATCATAACACGATCTAAATTTAAAAGGAGAAAACAAAACAAAGTATAACTCTTGAGCTCAATTTCTGCCTTTCTTTTTTTTTTTTTTTTGGTAAGTGAACCTGTATTGTATCTACTTAGTTGCCAATTTGGCTATTTTCTAGTTTTTGTCTTGTGTTACACTAAAAAAGTAACATTGGTATTCAAGAATTGCACAAGGAATAAAGATATAAAAAATCCTATTTGAATGAAATTTGGGAATCTAATTTATTGTAGTTATTAGATTCAAAGTCGGCTCCATTTAATATTAGAACTCACAACTGTAATGACTACATTTAATTAGGTCTTTGTAGGCATGNACATTGGTATTCAAGAATTGCACAAGGAATAAAGATATAAAAAATCCTATTTGAATCTAATTTATTGTAGTTATTAGATTCAAAGTCGGCTCCATTTAATATTAGAACTCACAACTGCAATGACTACATTTAATTAGGTCTTTGTAGGCATGAAACGGGGCGATTTTGATTCGTAGTATCCAAACACGTAAAATCCAAGAGATATTAATGGTGATTTTATAAAAAGGTACAATCATTTAAAATAATGTCTTTTACTCCAAGAAATATTAATGGTGATTTTATAAAAAATTGTGACTATTTGTAATGGTATCTTTTAACCAAAAAGTGTTAATGGTAGCTTTATGAAAAAATATAATTATTTGGATGGGTGTCTGTAACCAAAAATCACCAATTTTTANGACTATTTGTAATGGTATCTTTTAACCAAAAAGTGTTAATGGTAGCTTTATGAAAATATATAATTATTTGGATGGGTGTCTGTAACCAAAAATCACCAATTTTTAATTAGTAATCTTTCATGTCATATTTATTTCACATTTTTTTAGTTGCTCTCAAAAGTCACAAAAACTTTAATAATTATCATTCAATATTTAATAATTTTTTTAAAAATAAATATACCATTATTTCTAACCGGTGCACCAGCCAAGTAAGGACCCTGACCAAGTAGGGCCCTAGGCGTTTACTGGATGATTGTTTCTCTCTTTGGATAACATGATTTTGGGTCAGTTAAATCAAATCAAAAAGAGTAATGATAATCAACCCCTACCATTGGATCAGTCTCAATGTCAAATTGGATCTACTATCAACCCAACAATTATTGAATTGAAAATTGGGGGAAGGTAAAATGTATTAAAAAGGGCCAATAAAAACACCGCAATATTGAAAAATAGATGATAATTTCCGCTCACCGTTGGACGTTCCCATGAGACAGAACAAACATATGCATGCTGCAAAAGCTTGGCTCCACAAAGATGATAATTTCAACTCAAAGTTGGATGTTCCTATGAAATTATGTAGAACCCAACTTATAAATGAGTAAGAACAGACTTTCGACCATTGCTACAGTGCATGGTTTGCACAAAAAAAGAAAATGAAACCTGAAACACTATTCAAGTGAAGATCTAGAGGGCAAGAATGATTGATAATTGTCGAGCACACCATTAAAATAAAAAAACACAGGGATTTGATGCATACATCTTGTTTGTCGATATGCATCTGAACGCTTTGGCTTGCTTTGAACAACAGCCTCAATCTTCTCCATCACATTAATAGCCTTCATCTTCCCTTGAACTTGCATTAGTGGAAAATAAAGGTTTGAATAGGAAGAAATAGATTAAGAGCAGCAGAAAAACCAAGTGAGAGATGGGATAATTGGGGGTTGGTTTCTACAGATGCATACTAAAAAGCTCGGGTTATAGTTATACTTGTCATATGGTTCAGTGCCCAACTAGCAATGTCCGACGAAACTAACCACTCTTAAATCACCTACCATCACATGTAGATACACTAAGAGCACATGTTGTAGGGAGAGCATGTCTAATGACCACTAAGCAGACGTAGTTTCTTTGTCTGTAGGCACCGTTTCTTTGGCGCTTTTTCCCTTCTATTTAAAGGGTCGTCTTCTTCCTTTTTACTCATTTCTTCCCTTGAAGCTTTTCAAAGCCTTTNTCTTTGTCTGTAGGCACCGTTTCTTTGGCGCTTTTTCCCTTCTATTTAAAGGGTCGTCTTCTTCCTTTTTACTCATTTCTTCCATTGAAGCTTTTCAAAGCCTACTTTCCTGCAAACCTCAATTCTTCTTTTCCTGCTTTCCATGTCCCCCTTGTAAAAAGGACATACCCGCAAGGTTTTGAAAAACGCCCGTTATGTAATATAACGGTATCGGAGATCGGCGATACCGTTACACCCCGATTTAACGGCAAAAAAAAAAAATTTACACCCGTAATGGGCGTTATGGTGGCGTAACGGGTTGTAACGGGCGATATATTCCGTTATTCAGCCGTAACGGCCGTCACACTTCAACAGCCTTGGATTTTTTACTAGAAAACCATAAAATCAAAGAACAAATGAAAGGAGAAGAATATAGATGTGTAAATTTGGTCCCTCTTCAACGGAATCAACTTCTAAACCACTGGTTTTCTATTTTGAGTGGAGCTTCAATTCTTACATGTTAGTCGATGGTGGAAGAGAGAAATGAGTATTTTGTTTAAGATAGTGGTATTTGAGGCAGATGAACAACGACNAACGGAATCAACTTCTAAACCACTGGTTTTCTATTTTGAGTGGAGCTTCAATTCTTACATATTAGCCGATGGTGGAAGAGAGAAATGAGTATTTTGTTTAAGATAGTGGTATTTGAGGCAGATGAACAACGGCTATTTCGGGGCAGATGAACAACGGCTACTTGTGGGCAGATGCACAGCGGAGAAAAGTGGAGGAAAAAAGATAAGTTTTAGGGTTTAGATAATGGTTATGAAAAGATTAAGTTACCCTTGTTGTGAGATATTTTCTAAAGTGATAGCCAACCCAAATTTAAAAAATGGGTCTAGCTTGGCCCAAAGAAATTAACAGTCAGATTTTTTATTTTGTATTTTGGTAATATTTTTTCATCTTTTAGGAATGTACATTTATAATTAAAAAGAAGATTCTGCATCTCGANGGTTATGAAAAGATTAAGTTACCCTTGTTGTGAGATATTTTCTAAAGTGATAGCCAGCCCAAATTTAAAAAATGGGTCTAGCTTGGCCCAAAGGAATTAACAGTCAGATTTTTTATTTTGTATTTTAGTAATATTTTTTCATCTTTTAGGAATGTACATTTATAATTAAAAAGAAGATTCTGCATCTCGATTGACTATGATTTCTAAATTTTTTCAAAAAAATTTAAGTGGATTGCCTTTAATTAAAAGTCATGTAAAAATTGTTATGATGTAATTATTAAATGATAAATTTATATAACATTGTTTATGATACAATAAAATGTATAAAGTATCACAGAGGGTCTATATTTACAAAAACTTAGAGTTAAAAATTCATAAATTTATTTTTTTAGAGAGGTGTGAATGAAAACAAAAAATTCACGATCTCGGTTTCCGTTATTATATTGTAACGCCCGTTTCATCCTGCATCTATTATACCATTACCATTACCGTTACGACGGCCGTTACCGTTATTCACAGCCTTGCATACCTGTCTTCAAGGTCACTTATGGTGTCTAGNTTTAGAGAGGTGTGAATGAAAACAAAAAATTCACGATCTCGGTTTCCGTTATTATAATGTAACGCCCGTTTCATCCTGCATCCATTACACCATTACCATTACCGTTACCGTTACGACGGCCGTTACCGTTATTCACAGCCTTGCATACCTGTCTTCAAGGTCACTTATGGTGTCTAGGCCGATGTTGGGATTAGGGTACCCAAGGCCAACGAAGCCCCTTATTGGCTCTAGGGTTTCCATGGCTATCTACACCATTTCTATCATTGAGGGAGGAGTTCATTTCCCTCTCCATCCTCTTTTTCTCCGGGTGCTTTTTGCGCTAAAGCGGTTCTGTCCTCTCCAACTTTGTCCTCACTTCTTCCGGATAGTGATGGGAGTTGTGACTTTGAACAACCTTATAGGGACCAACCTGGCCCTATGAGAAATCTTGTAAGTTGTATTGTGACATCATCAAAGTGATGACAACTAATGTCTTGCAGTTACTAACAAGAGTCGCTGTCTTGTTACTCACCTTCCCGATTCGAACAAGAATCACCAGAAGGATATCGTGGTTCACAATCTCATTATATGCGTCTTGAAGTTCAATACGAATAATGTTACATGAATTTAATCAGTAGATTTAATAATCACAACAGTTAAATAAATAATAGATCTTAATAAATGCTATAACTTACAATAAAATCAATAATCATATTTATCAAGTCTACTTTTTAAATCCTGCTCCTCCTCCAAGTACTCCCCTATCCTTTCCTCAAGACCCGCCCCTCCAAATGATCCTGTTCAGCCAGATGCGTCCGAGGCCGAGCCAATCTTGGTGCCGGATGATGATCCTGCTGATGCTTCTAACGCCAACAGTCCAGTGGCGTTCCTGTAGACGGTTGCCTGGCTCCTGCTGCCATTTCCCCGGAGGTTGATCAAGGGAACGAGACTTCCCTAGAAGCAGTTGTGCAGCATAAGACCTTTGCCAAGAAGATGAAAACCGTGGACATCAGTGAGTTTAACGAAGCCGAGGA